AGAAGCTGTCTCGGAGTGCCATAAGATCAAACGTTGACCTAGAAACCGATTTAAACAGCGGAGGGATAGTCAGAAAACTAACGGACAAACAACCCGAATACTTTAATGAATTAGTAATAAAATCGATTAGAGTATAGAAGGCACCCGGTATAGATCCATCGGGTTTAATGGCAAACTGGAAGTTGATCGTATTTCATTCTGGTTATTGACTGTCATCAACTCAGAATTGGACTGTCACTAAACCTTACGCTTGAAGAAGGGGATTTGGGGATTGAAATCGCTGTAACTTAACGTGGGTATTTGGAAATCGATCGAGGATATATGGACTCATTCACGACTTTTATCATTATATGTCATATATCATCATTTTCACTATTTTTCAGCAATAAATCTTAACTGATTCATCCAATATTTAGGCAAAGATTGCATAATACACCTTTATCATTTAACTCACAACGCGCTTGACGTGATTTACAAAATCATGCTAGAGAGAACTATTCCATGTGTCCGGTTATAAACACCTTAGCTGTGTGAAAAATAAGAAGGGAATTACATCTGTTTACATGCAGATAAACGATCCGAGTTTATCCATTTTTTTCGTCCTAAAAATGCATCAGTCGCTGAATCAAAATGATCACGTTTGTTTGTGCTGATATCAACTTCTTTTCAGACCAAATCATTAAATTTTTATGGAGAACAGATAATTTGAAGATTTGTGTAGAATTTTGGCATGAAGCATCCAGTTCCATTTATCCACTTCATTAAGAGAGAAAGAGGACAAATGCCGCGAGATGCTAACATTTCGTTTATTCTTCTCAGTGACTGACTTAGAATAGATAGGCACATATATAGCACATGGGATTAATCTTTTATGGTGAACAACCATGTATAACCCAAAAGAAGATTACTAAATTCAAAGGTAGACGTTCAACCCCACGGCAATCATTTATCCGTGGCGTCATCGATTTCATCAACCCCATTGAATATGTTGAAGGAAGGACAAATTTTCCTAAAGGGAATATTGATAAATAACGGTTACCCAGAAAGGTTTGTGGATATTCACAGCAGGCCATTTCTAAAAGATGAGCCATCCGAAAACGTGAGGAAAAAGGCCATTTACATCAAGCTTGCGTTCAAAGGTGATAACATTTACAGCGATAGGCGCCAGAAATTGGGAGTTGCTCAAATCAGACTCACGGATGGCCGAACATATTACAACGTGGCTAGTGAAATCGATGACGCAACCGATAAATGACGACCAATTGCATAAAATAAATCAATCTGCTGCAAAACATCTGATGGCAACAAGATAAACATTTGACCCCAGGTGGTCTTTCAAACCAGCATTACGCAATTGAAATGCTAAAGATGCATAGCATATATATGGTAAAATACTTCGTTTCATATAGCCATGTGATATCCAAATAAAATGTGTTGCAGTTTCAACGTTACTAAGGAAAACCCAATTACGGAGCATGTTATGACAGTTTATGATCTACGGCTAAAAAGGTTCACTCACTTTATTGCATTTATGCATGAATCCGTTCTCGCAGTAGTAAACGTACTTGCATTACTGACCACTGTATATTGAATATGATACAAAATGCTTGACGAAAACATTCAATTTCCTTTTAGTAAAAACGACATCACTTCACGATTCAGACTCGAAGAATTACGTAACACGCATCAAGTATAAACAAACAGTTGCGTCGCCGTTGTCGGTTGCGCATGTAGAACCAAAACATCAGGATAAACGTGATCTCTGTTGCGGAGTAATTGGTGAGCATCTCACAAGCACACCCACGTATTGCCACCATATAAATACAAGAAACCCTAAACAGTGTACAGTGAGTCACACTAGCAAAATGCTGCGAACATTGATCGTCGTTTATACAATTATCAGCGCTTTTGCCAATGCTGGTAATTCTCATATAACTCAATGAATAGCGAAGTATGACTTAAAATATTCTAGAGGCGAACAACCCCAATTGCGGAGAGGAAAATGTCGTTGCATCTTCCGTAAGTGCAGAACTAGTGCTGCCCAGAACAAGAACGGAAGAATGTAAATGGAACATAAGCAAGAGCACACAACGAATAATTAAACTGACCAGAAAAGCAACCGCTGTTCATCCTTCGACTGAGGTAATGCTGGTGAACTTTGAATTAGTGAAACTTGTAGGACGTTTCAACTACGAATTGCATCACATTGACCGGCCCGAACGATGCATTACTTGGCGATTGGTGCGATTCTGCAGAGGAGCAATCTCTTCTATCGAAAGACTATATTATAATTCAAATAAAGAAAGGTTCAAAAGTTAACGATAAGGATATCATATTAAAACACGAATTGGGTGAGTACTGTTTATATGTGTTAAACAGTAACTTGAAAAGAGTAAAACATTTCATTTCCGTTTTTTTATGATCGTTTTTCTTCGACTCCACAGTTAATGCACCGCAATGCACCACAAATGTGAATCCTCCAAATGATGAGAAGCAGTCGTTCAATGTGAATGAGTTTGATCCCATTCTTCCGGGAATAGGCTGTGTTTGGGACTTGGCATCTGCAGCTAACAAACGCATTCAAATTACTTTGGAATCACATTCGGTACGTTCGTCTTCCATCCAGCGCTTTGGCCACTCAATTTATGATGCACATGAATTCCAAATATGTAGAAATAATAATCTGTCACATTGATCATGCACTTTCAAATTATCGTTGTGTTTGCAGTTTACTGCTTGTAGAGATGAATATCCTAAAGCTGGTTAGCTATTGCGTGTTTGCTTAGACATGCATTTTCGGGCAATTTTGTATTTCAAACATACGGCTGCATACATCCAAAGCCACTTGTTGTTACTCTATGCCAAACGGGTTTGTTTACACATTCAAACACACCCTGAAAGATAGTTGTAAACATATTGTCTCAGAAACAACTGTGGTTTATTCTTCAGCCAAAACACCCAACTTTACTAAACACACATGTTCTAATACCGTAAGGTGAAATCACCTGAGTAAATGTATTTGACAAGTACATTACTCACTCCTCATACACCATTGTCTCACCCACAGACCGCTAATAATGATCAATGCATACTTGTCTCCATGAGAGATAGTACAGAGTCGATGGCGGCACAAAAGATTTGCTGCGAGGAAGGGAACAATTCTTTCAAGGCAGATGCAGGAAAGGATGTAACTATCACGTTCGAGAGTTCAAAAGGACCATCTGACAATTTCATCAAAAATTTTCAAGTATTTTACCAACTTGGTGAGTCTCATCTGCGTGGAAAAAAGCTTTACATTTAAAAACATGGAGAGCTTCTCAACCGTGTGATATTTAAATTTTACATTATATGGGTAGATTAGTATAGTGTGACACTGGAGTAAGAACGTGTCCTTTGTCCACACACTTTGAAGTAAATAGCGTAGCAGAGTTTTGAAACGTAAAACATTAACCAGTGTACATGCATGAACGACTAACTTTCGAATCATAGTTTATACACTGAAGCGCAGGCACGTCATTGAATAAACAAACTATTCTTGTTAGAAGTATTCTGGAGAAAAGACGGCGATTTTGAATCAATAGTACAATTGTGCAATTTGCATTGAACAATCTGATATATAAATGCTCATTGCAGTTGTGGTTGTTGTTGGTGCATTTTGCTTTATTTTATGTCGATATGCGGCACTTCAGTAGAAGAAGACTCTTCATTACCAGGAAATATTTAGTTCGCAATATGCAAAGTGCATTTAAATTTTACATTCTAGTGTCGGATACAGTAGACGATAATAGATGTGGCGAAATCCCGGGTCCACCGACGAACAACGATCAATCGTTTACAATTGCTAGGTCCGGCAATACCATTCCAGCGGACTTGATATGTAACTGGACCATTCCGACCAGTAATGGGAAAAATATTCGCGTCAGCCTGGACGTGGGATCGGTATGAATTTTATTAAACGCTTTTGTAATGCACATCTGTCTTCCGTATGAAATACAAATTTAACTGCCTCGTTGAAAACACTTCATCCATGAATAGTGTTGCGTTGGTGATTATTTGAGAGAGCAAATTTTTGATTTCATTTAAAAATCTTGAGACGTTACAATCTGTCGGTGTTGTGAACGTGGCACAAAACGTTTACCCTGAACAATGTTGAGTGTTGGAACGTATCTTCATCTAAAACGATTAATGTTTATCATCGCCCATAAACAGTAACTCATTCAGAAAGAACAGACCAAAAACCTTATGAAGAAACCCACGTTAAGAAACATGCGTGCTTGAACACGCGTTAAATCATGTTCGCATAAATTGTACACAGTCGCGTGCCTGGAAATTATTAGCCATCGGAGCTAGTGGTTTGCTAAAAAAACGTCCGTATCTGAGTACCACTAAAAACAGAAAATACTCTTCACATCTTACGATACAATATCGAGTTCGGTTTCAAAGTGTAGAAGTTTTACAGACGTTGTCAGTATTGCATTGACCCTAAATGTCAGATGGGTTTCAGCAATAATGTCCTATAAGCTATTTACTGTAGTTTTCACATCGTATTTAAATTACGATAGCAAACCCAAAAACCAATTTCGAAATCCCCTCTGTTTTCCATCTCAGTCTGAAACGGCAACGCAATGTGTAGTGATTGGTAATGAGGACATGACCGATGCAAAAGAAATTTGTCGCAATGAACAGAGCAATACGTTCACATCTACCGGGAAAGGCGTCCTGATCGTGTATGATGGAGAAACGTCACAGAGTAACAGTCAAGAAAACTTCAAAATACACTATCAATTCGGTCAGTTTCACAAATCCGTTAACTTTGTGGTTATTGTTGAAAATGTGGTAATGCTCATAGATGATAGGAACTCACCTGCACATGTGCAAACGTTGCTTCACGAGCGTCAGGCATAATTCTTCATTACACATTAGTTTGTAGTTTGCCAATGTTGGCAGCCATTATGTTTCCATTCATCCTTCATCACCAAACTTCGCTTTTGTTTACATCAACCACAATTTCAGATGTTGCCACCAATTATATGTGGTCCACAACGCTTCTCACCTTGTGTGTTTTGCTAAATATATACGGCCGAGAATGGTGAGTGCAACGATACATTGGATTTATTGCCTTGACCGGTTGATTGAATCAATATTATGTTGATCGACCACCCGTGCTTTTGTTCAAACAGATCGAGTTTAACACAACCCGCTGAAATGGCGTGAAATAACCAGAAACAAAACCCCGAGCTTATTACAGAACAATATTTTTATCGGAATGGAACAACCATTGTAACGTTTCATAACAAACGATAAATCCGTTGCTTGACCAATCTGTACTTATCTTTCGCAGCTACATTTGACTTAAGCCATTCTATCAAACAAACTTTGTTAAACCGCCTCACATATCGATTGTGATAGCTTCACGCCTTTTTAATAAGATCCTCTTCACAAACATACAAACGGTTATCACGCTTTTGCAGACAAAAAATTGCCTGAACGCAGTAAACGCAACATATGAGATAGTAATTTCTACTGGGCGACAGGTTGCATGCTGAAAATCACTCTGTGATCCAAAGAGTCACGGACTTTCACTGTATCCTACTGACGAGGTCCGACGAACAACGAAAACATTTGGAAACCTGATTCGCAATCGATTATCAAAGTTACGCATGTGTGAGTATTATCTGTGCAACATTGGTAAACAAACGATAGAACTGTGCAGCTGAATTAGTGACCCCTTTCAGATTTTCATAAACGGAAGCATTTGCAACGCTTAGAGAGTCGGTGATATATATTTTCTTCCGTGAGAACCTTGGTCA